GTATTTCATTCATTACTGTAACACAAATGATTTAACCATTTTCCTGTGGTTGGAAACTTAGGTGGCTTTCAGGTTTTTGCAATTATATGTAATGGTGTGGGGGCTGGTCCTTTCCTCTTCTGATCAATTGGGAGAAACTGAGGCCTTTCTGGCATGCGCTGAAGATCCTCCCTCCTCTTCCTGCCCCACATGTTGGCTTCTCTGGTTGGGCCCAAGTCCTGTCCACACACACACACACACACACACACACACACACACACACACACACGCGCGCTCATTGCAGCGTGTATGAAGGATGCAGCATGAGTGCCTGTAAATGGCACCAGCCTGAGAGTCCAAGATGAGTCTTTCGGTTCAGGCTCTGTTACTATGTGACTTCCAGCAATCACTGAGCATTTATTAAACACCTACTATGTGCCCGACATGGTGTTAGGTGGGGCAGGGGGTGGTACAGAGCTCCAAGTGATTCAGCCCTGGCCTTTGAGGTGCTTCCATTCCGATGGGGGAGGACACATGCACTTATAGAGACAAATGCAAACCACATCTAGCACAGACATCAGCTAAGTGGGGCAGGGGGACACGCAGTAGAGGATGCATTTGAACTAAATCTTCAACCAAAAAGAAGTCCAGGTGAGGAGGGAATGTATTCCATCCTGAGAAATGATTGAATTTGGACTAGAGCATGGAAGGAACAAGGGCATTTTGGAATAAGTATCCAGTCTATGGAGGGTAATAAGGTGTAATAAGCCTGGAAAGGAAGGATGGGTCCAGATTATGAAGGCCTTTTAATGCCCAGCAGGGGGTTGTATTTGATCCCGGAACAAAAAGGAAACTTTTAAATTTTGGGGGGGGGGGGGGGCTGAGGGTGGGGACATGGTCAAACCCACTTTGGGAAAATCACTTTGTTGGCTTTATGGAAGATGGAAGGAATGGGGAGGGTCTGAGGTAGGGTTACCAAATAGTTGGTTATTGGTGAGGGTGACGAATTATCATAATAGCTATGGGATTTCAGAAAAAAGGCGGGGGGGGCAGAATATGTGAGAGATGTTGTGGAGACATTCACTTAATGTCTCTGGGCCTCAGTTTCCTCATCTGTAAAATGAGGATGTTGGAGTAGTTGGTCTCTCAGATCTTTTCCAGTTCAAGATCCATGATCCTGTAAATCTTGTTTTTTTTTTTTTAAAGTGAACACAAAATAATGAAGAATGAAATGAGCAGAACCAAGAGAACATTGTATCTAGTAAGAGCAATATTGTTTTAAGAACAACTTTGAGTGAATTAGTTATTTTGTCTATTATAAATACTCAAATTAACTATAAAGGACATATGAAGAAAGAAGCTATTCACATCCGGAGAAAGAAATGATAAATAGAAGTCTATATAGAATAATTTTACATATACACACCTATTTGTGTCTAATGGTAGCCATCTTTGGGGTGGGGGGGTGGGGCTGGGTAGGGAAGAAAAAAGGAAAAAAAGGAAATTCACATGACAATTTTGTATATTTGAAAGAAATAGCAAGTTGTGCAAAGTAGATTTGCAGTTTTATGTACAATCATCTTTTTTTATTGTAGTTATGAAAATGCTTGCTTTATTCCATAAATTAAAAATAAAATCAAAGGTTTAAGTGAACAGTCATTTCATAAGGTAAACATTCATCATTTGTTTTGAATTTTTAAAAGCTCTTTTAAAAGTGTAATTATTATAGCTGTGTGACCCTGAGCAAGTCACTTAACCCTGATTGCCTCACCAAAAAGCAAAAAAAAAAAAAAAAAAAGTGTGACTATTGGACCCCAAGAATTGCAGTCAGTCTACTGGAAAACAGATCCTTGCAACACTGTCTCTAGGTGGCTCTTTCCAAAAAGTAACTCAGGTGGAGTGAAGAAGTCAGACCCTAGTCTATTCATTCCCTTGATACAATCAGGAGGAGGCCCTTAGGCATAAATAAAGTGGTTATTAAGCATCTCTTACGTTGCTGGGCACAGAGTTGGTACTTTAAAGTCTTAATGAATTACATCATGTAATTGATCAACATGGAAAAGTATGATAGAGAGGAAATAAAATTAAACCAGCAAGAAAACCAACTGCTTTTCAATATGGTAATGTAATGTGGCTGGTTCATGTGGCTTGTTATAAGACAAGAATAGACATCTTTAGCATTTCCCCCTGCCTTTCTCCAAGGGAGACTGATTCCTGCCAGAGCCTGGCCACTCTGCTGTCCTTAGAGAGAGAGGGTACAGGGCTGAAATTATACCTGGCTGTTCCTTTAAATATTATTAGTCTAGGGGAAATTGCTGTAAGGGTCAAGCTGAATGCCTGATCACTATTCATTAATGGGGAAAGGGGGGGCCCCCAACCTTTATATCCAAGGCTTGACTACTGTCCCGCTAAATACCAGTTCCACAATGAACACACATAACAAATAGCAAAGAAGCCCATTTATCCTGGTCAACAGCAAGACAGAAATTGGAGAAAGCATGTGTATATCTATGTATATGTATTATGTATATATTTGTGTATATAAACATATATGCATATATACACATGTGTGTATATATGTGTGTACACACACACCAGACAATACAGATAGAAGGAGCTCTCCCATTGGGAGTGAGACATCTCAGCTCCATGAATACCGAGAGGTATTTCAACCAAGGGGAAAATTCCATGACATCTGGAGTGTAGCAAAGCTGAGAATGGGGACATGATCAAAGTTTTTCGTGTAAGCTTCTTCCCAGAGACTCTCTCCCTTCAGTGACCTAAGGAGACGTTAGCATCATTATCTTCTCTATCAAAGCTGGAAGCCAGAAAAACCCAAAGACACTAGAAGCAGGGGTGGGCGACCTTCGGCCTCGAGGCCACACCCCACCCCTGGCTCTGGGCCACAATAATTCACAAAAACCATGTACTAAGATGTGGAGCAGTGGTATTCCAAGTTTGTGATCTTAAGAGCCCTTTGTACTGGCTCCCTCCCCCACAGACCCCTGAAGAATGAATCCTGGCCACTATACCCAAACTAGTTACTATCAAGGCCCTGTTTGCACACCTCCATTGATGGAGACTTGCTATTTTGGGGGCCAAACTAGAGAATTGAGGACTGTTAGAAGTGAAATTCAGTTCCATTCAACCCAAGTCAATGAGCATTTATTAAGCACCTACTGTGTGCCAGACACTGTAGGAGGCCCTGGGAGGTACAAAGACAAAAACTGCAAACAACATTGGCCATTAAGGAGCTTAATGTTTTAGGTTTTTCCATTTAGAGCTGGAGGAGACTTTAGAGGTCACGTAGTTCAATCCCCTCATTTTACAGATGAAGAAACTGAGGCCCAGAGTAGTGAAATAATCTTGAAAAGTTTAAACCCAGGGGCAGCTAGGTGGATAGAGCTCCAGCCTTGGAGTCAGGAGGACCTGAGTTCAAATTTGACTTCAGACACTTGACACTTACTAGCTGTGTGACCCTGGGCAAATCACTTAACCCCAACTGCCTCACCAAAAAAAAAAAAAAAAGGCTAAACCCAGGTCCACTGACCCAGCTTCTTTCCACTGTAGGAGAGAGACGGGAACTACAGAAATAAGTAGATACAAAATAGATGCACATAGATACAAAGTAACTTCGAGGGGAAACTCGAACACTCAGAACTATAGGGCTGGCAGGAAACAATTTTGACTGAGATTGTGATTTGGGACCTGAGCCTTGAGGGTAGCTGGGGATACCAGGAGCAGGTGGGAACGAAAAGAGAGAACATTCCAGGTCCAGAGGCAGGGTTCGGAAGCAGCAGTGGGCCAGTGTGGCTGAAACGGAAGAAGAGGGTGTAGGGGAGTCGTGTGAAAGTGGTCTGGAAAGATAGGCAGGAGTCCAGTTAGGTTGTGAGGGGATTCAAGTGCCAAACAGCGTTTCCATTTTATCCTAGGGTAATAGGGAGCCACTGAATCTTCTAGAGTAGGGGAGTGGCTGGGTCTGGGTTTGAAAGTGACCAGAGAGATCACCTATTCCAATCATGCCCATTTTATATAGGAAGAAACTGAGGCCCAGAAAGGTTATGCACCTCCTCCTAGGTCACCCAGCAGTTAAGGAGCAGAGCCGGCCTTCCAGCCCAGTAGGTGCGGACCCCAAATCCAAAGCTCTGGCTATGACAATCGAAGGGACCCAAAGGCACTTTAAAAAAAAAAAAAAAAGAGGAAGAAACCGGTTCAGACCAGCCCTCTCCCAGTTCCTGGTAACACCCAGGGCCTTACAGGTTCGGCCCAAAGCTGTCCCTGAGCAGCAGCTCCTCTGTAAGGACTGGAGCTGTGAAGGGAGGAGGTCCCTAAAGCCTTCCTGGGGCACTATCTCTAGCTTCCCCAACCCTAGAGGTGCCACGGGCTCCTCCCTCTGCCCAGGTGGTCCCCTGGTCCCCAATAAGACTACAATTCCCAGCATGCCCCGCGGCAAGAAGTCGAAGCTTCTCCGTGAAGCAGGGAGACTACCACTCCCAGCATGCAGTTCGGGCCCTAACAGCTGATAGGTGGGCGGGGCGGCGGGGGGAGGACGCGGCAGATCTGCTCCGTTGCATGCTGGGAGAAGTAGTCCAGCGAAGCCGCGGCAACGGAAAAAAAGAATTCTAGGCCCGCCGGGCCATGTAGGAAGAGCGAGGCCGCTGGGAAAAGGAGCCGAGGTGGGACTCCGCCTTCTGCGGTCGGTCCGCGGTCCCGCTTTCCGCCTTCCCCGCCGAGGGAGATGCCTCGCCGGGGTTCCACCCCCGGCGAGCAGCCAATCCGTGCGGCGAACGCCGTCCTCCTTCCCTCGGCGGGCGGGTGCGGCGCAGCGCGGCGGTTGCCATGGGGACGTTGACGTCACCGGGGTGAAAGGTGAGGGGCGGTGACGTCAGGCCGAGCCAGGCGGAGGCTGGCGGGTGGGAGGGAGGGGGAGAGAGCGGGCGAGAGAGCGGCCCGAGAGGGAGGGGGCGCGAGGCGTTGACCCGAAGCCCGGAGCAGCACGCGGCCGTCCCGCACCTGCGGCGATGGATGCGGAGGGGGCGCTGAACACCTGGCGGGGGGGCGACGCGGGGGCCATCGAGAGGGTCCTGCGGGAGTACAGCGAAGAGGTAAAGCCAGCGCGGGCCCCCTCCCCGGGCGGGCCGTGGCGCATCGCCCCGTGCGAATGCCCCCCTCCCCAGAACCCCCCCAGCCCGGACTGGCTCGGAGCTGGCATGCCAGTGTACGCCGAGGCGTACCTACCCGTGCAATTGACCTCCCCTTCTGCATGCACGGGACTCCGCCTTTCCCCCCTGCAGACCCCCAGCGATCTCCCCCAGCCCTCCCCCATGCACCCCCACCGCCCCCCACGCCCGTCACAAAGGCTTTCCTCTCCGGGATTCATATTGCAAGCTCCAGCCCTTTCCATCCCTCCCTCCATCCATCCATCCATCAATCCCTCCCTCCCTCTCTCTCCCTCCATCCATCCCTCCCTCCCTCCTTCCGTCCCCCTCCCCCTGCCACCACCCTGGTGCAGGCCGTCTTCACCTCTCCCAACCAGGATGGTAAATCTCCCCCTCTCTCCCTTTCCTCCAGCCCCCCTGTACACCCTCCCCTGCTTAGATCAATTTTCCCAATCACAGCTTCAGGAGGCAGCTGCCTTACTCAGAAACCTTCAGCGGCTCCCCGCTGCTCCCTGAAATAAAACCCAAACTCCAGCCTCCCAGTCGGATCGAGCAATCAACAAGCATTTATTGGATCCGAGCGATTTAGAACCTTTGGGATCCTCTCCCCCTCCCCCACCATTTTACAGGTGAAGAAACTGAGGCCCACAGGAGTAGGGACTTGCCCAAGGTCACACTGGGAGTGAAAAAACAGAACCAAGCTGAGAGTGTCAGACTGCAAATTCAGTGTTGACATTTCCTGCTCTGGCCCTAATCTACCAACCTTATCTCACTAGGGTAGGAGAGGGTCTGTATAGGACCCTAGGGTCTTTTAGGATAGGAGGTAGGGTCCAAAGGTACTTGATATACCATCTAGTCCAGGGATGTTCTGGACACCTTTGACAGTCAGTCTAGAAAAGCCTATGAGCCCCTTTCCAGAATCATGTTTCTAGATTCATAAAACCACAAAGGACATCAATTATATTGCAATATAGTTATCAAGATTTTTTTTTTAATTCCTGGACAACAAGTTAAGAACCCCTGATCTGTTCAAATCCCATCTCTCTCGTTTTATGGGGGATGGTAAGTAGCAGAGTGGGATTTGAACCCAGGACTTCTTGACTACAGATTCTGAGCCCTTGTCATTCCCCTGTGTTGCACTGTTAACAGGAAGCTAGCAGTCAGCAAACATTTATTAAGCACCTGCTGCATACCGAGCACCCTGCTAAATGCTGGGGGTACAAAAAGAGCAAACCTAGTTCCTTCTCCCAAGGAGTGTACATGCTCCAGGAGGACAGTAACCAGGTACCTTCAGGAGATCTGCAGGGCAAGATGGAAAGTGATAGGAGAGGGGGAGGCATTGCTGGGACCCCAGGCTCCAGTCAAACTGGTCTTCTGGTTGGCCACCAAATGGCCCCAGGCTTTCCTATTTTCTGACTGTTCCAGGCTGGTGTTTTTTCCCTAGCACATCCTTCAACACCCCGCAAGTGCCTTGTCCCTGCCCCAGCTTCCCATGGGAGAATCCCACCCTTCAGGGCCCAGGACTTCCTTTGGAATCATCCCCCTTTCCCAGATGCAGTCTCTCCCTGCAGGAGCCTCACAGTATTTTATTTGAATCTTTCCTATTGCCGGATCATCTTCAACTTCCTGAAGGAATTATGTCCTGGACTTTCCCTTCCTACTGTTCCTTCCAGGCAGGGGTTATGGATTGTTGATCTGTGTGTCCCCAAGGCCCTACTTGTTGTCCTGGGCCTCCCATATAGCAGGTACCAAGGAAATATTTATTCAGTAGAATTGCAATTGGACCTTTGACACCCATAAAATATATTAGCAGTAATAGTCCCATCTTAACTTTATGGTTTCCCTCTTCCTGCCTTTCCTTTGAAACTCACCAGAACCGTAGGAGGGTGGGCCAGGTGAAAACAGAACACAGTCATGTCACAGGGTGACATAGCCTGAAGAAAGGTTGGCTCGTAGGTATCAGAGCACAGACCAGAAGTCAGATTACACAGTCGTTCTAAAGAGAAGGAAGAGAAACCCCCAGTGAAGTGACTCGTCCAAGGTCACACAGGTAAGAAGAGGAGTAGAGCTCATATAGGAATCCAGGTTCTCTGATTCCAAACCTAGTGTTCTCCGGGAACCAGATTGCCCGGGGTAATTTCAAGCTCTTTTTTGTTTTTCTTTATTAGACATATATCTGACTCCGTGTGAAAACATATACTCCCACACCTTGAATGCCAAATCTTTCTCCATTCTCTGTCTTCTTGGATTGGTTAAATGGTGACGCCCTTTATATTCCATAGCTGAGCTTTGCTTTTTGAGCACACCATTTCCATTTTGTATCTTAATTTCCACTCCTTTTGGAGCATGGCACACACACACACACACACACACACACACACACACACACACACACAC